AGTTATTTTTACGTAAAACCAGTTTTCAACAAAAGCAATATTGTTTTTAGTGTAATAAAAACAAAAAACTGTAGATACTTGAAAGTTGAAATTATCACCAAGTGTTTATTTTCTGTTTTTATACATGATACAATTTGATACAAAATGTATAGAATGTCTTCGCCCAGAATAATTTTTTCTGTTCAAAGATACATCATGAAATTYAAAATTTGTGACCCACATGACTCCTAATATTCAGTAGACAGTCTTCACTTAACCAACTTTTGTTTTGTTGTTCCCAATTATTTTAAAATGTACTGAGACATTTTTACTTAGGACCCATCAAGTACAAACTACATCTAATTTGGTATAAGAAACCTTCCTTAAAGTCAACGATAGCATTTTTTGTTGTTAGAAAAATTATATTCATACAAAATAAATATAAACACAATCATTCTAATATCAATACATTCATGCATTTAGAATCAACAAAACATTAACATTTTTACTTTGATTTAATTATAAATTTAATATATMATTTAGAACATATGATATGAAATAGATTTTTAAAAACAGATGTTCTATTAATAGAATASTACTTTATAAGTTTTTAAATTATGATATCTTCAATTTAGAACATCCTCATAAGCGGTACAATCCATTAAAAGGAGAATGGATTTTGGTATCTCCTCACCGAATGAAAAGACCTTGGGATGGACAAACAGAATCTGTACAAAGTGATATGGGTCCAGAATTTGATCCAACCAATCCCCTCTGTCCTGGTGTAGTCAGGAGTAGTGGTATTGTTAGTATATTAATATACAATACTTTTTTTTATGATATGTGATGTCTTAATCAACAATGTTTTTAGGTGACTCCAGAGTACAAATCTACATATGTATTTACAAATGACTTCCCAGCCATGTTAGAGGATACACCCTCGCCTCCTCAAAGTGATGATCCTTTGTTTCAAATTGAAGGAGTTAAAGGTACATGTCGTGTTATGTGTTTTTATCCCAAATCCAATGTCACAATTTCTCTTATGACTATAAATGATATAGTAAWCGTGATTTCAAGGTATAATTTGAAGTATATGTTATTACTCAATTTCATTATTTTTTTTTTTCACAGTTGGATACAGCAATTGGAAGAATTAGGAAAGACCTATACTTGGGTACAAATATTTGAAAACAAAGGTACTATGATGGGTTGTTCTAATCATCATCCCCATTGCCAAATATGGGCTTGTTCATTTTTACCAAATGAACCACGCATCAAAGATATTCATCAGAGAGAATACCTGGTTAAGTATGGAAGACCAATGCTGATGGATTATGTTGATCGCGAATTAAAGGCAAAAGTATGAAGTATTAAATAKCATACTATTTTCTATGTAATATCATTTGGTAACATCCTATAGACTCCATTATAATGACCAGTCTTGTGCTAACAATCATTGATGCCCTATAGCTGGCAATAATTATTGWTGACTCTTTGGCATGATAGGTATTTAAACCTCTACAAAAATGTCATAACACAAAATATATAAACATACAATAACACATGTCGACACAAATATTATAATAA